GGTGAGGCCAGAGAACAGGGGACAGAGGAGGCTGGAAGAAGGCAAGGCCGAGCAAGGGCACTGGCTGGAGAAAGGAGTGGGAATTTGAAGGAAACCAAGAAGGGTCAGAGCACAGCTGAAAGAAAGCATATGGGCCCTTGGCCAGGGTCTAGAGGCCAACAGCTGCCTCAGGTGGCCTTCGGTTCCAAACTCTGGTCCCGACCCTCTGGGCAGAGGAGAAGTCTCTTCCCACAGAAGCAGAGGAGTTCCAGACACCTAGAAGCCAGGTCAAAAATAATCGTATACGTGGCGGGCGTCTGCTCGGAGGGCCTAAGGCCACGTGGCGGTGCCGTCGTTTCCCACCACGCCAGGGGACCGGCTCTGCCGCTCGTGTTCCTGGGAGGCCGGGTCCCTGCACGGGCTCCCTGCTCGCCATCGGCAGCGAGGATGAGGGGGGCTCTGGGCTTCTCGTGGAGGAAACGCCCTCCCGGCATAGGGGGGAACGTGCTGGGATGACCCCGTAGGCGTCAGGCTAAGGTCAGACTGAGAGCCTCTTTGCTCGTTGGTCAGATTTTGATAACGACTCGTGTCCCTAAAACATGGTTCGGTGAACTTCACGTGTGGTTCTGAAGAAACACAGCGTGGCCGCGGGCGCATTCAGCACGCGCTCCTCAGAGGTCTGTGGGAACGAGGCAGGGCGGGCACCAAGGGGCGCGACGCGCCCACCGTCACAGCCCCCGGGCATGGACACCACATGCGAGTTTCTCCTCAGAGCCCACTTTTAGGAATTCCTTAATGCAAACAGAAGAAGATTCCAATTTTAATTCTATTTCACCTACGGTAGTTTTTCCCTTAACTCCCCCCATTCTCTGTAATGTGTTAAAAATAAAAGTTTTCGAATTCACACTTTATCAAGTAGTTCGACTTCTAGGAAACTTGGTTTCTCCATCTGCAGGGTAGAGATGATAACCCCACAAGGAAGCAGTTAAGGGAAAGTGTGAAGCTGTGAGAACTGGGTGGAGTGTGCTGGGCGGGCAGAGGGCACCCGCGCTCCCCGGTTCCGTCCCTGCGGCCACATCCTTCCCACCCCCGCGGTCAGCTGTCCGGTCCTTGGGAGCGTTCCTCATACCACTCTCCTCCCCGTTTCTCCTGCCACCTTCCCAACTGATCTTCCTTATTTCATCTTCTCAGAGTGTTTTGTGTTGGCCGACCCCATGACCCTTCCGAAAACGTACTTTTCCGCTCACCTGCGTCAACAGGCCCCTCACCCCCCTGGGTGGCCCCTCGAGTTCGCCAACTAAAGCACAGGCTCTGCGGCCCCCATCAGACCTCTCTGATCCTCTCCACTGTCCCTGTCCTCTTGCCAAACTCACTGGTCCCATCTTCCCGACCAAGTTCACCCTTCAGACCCACCGCGGAGTCTGCGCGCGCCCCTCTAACCGGTGCCCCTGCCATCCCGTGCGGGGCACCGCAGGCACAGCGTCCCTTCCGTAGCGGACGAGATCTTGGGACCTACTTTGGTAACGCTCTAGGGTAGTAATTAAAAGCATAGGTATTGAGGCCAGAAAACTGTGGTGATTAATTAACAAAGCACCTTGAAAACAACACATAATCCCTGTAAAGCACCTGATAAATCCCGGCGTTCGTTAGTATCGTGGCTGTGTACAGCCCTTACTTCCCCGCTAAAATGGCCCTCGGTGACAGTGACCTTCTGGTGCGCACGGTGCCCTTTCCAACCCCTCCCCGGCCAGCTTCTGTGGATTCTCAGTTAGAATCACTTGCTCACAAACTGATTTCTCAGGCTCTGCATTGGCTTGTTTTCATGCTTTAAGACGCGAGAACTTCATCCTTGTGAGAAACACGCTAATTCGCACTCACCATGATTGAGGTGTGATTTAGGACATAGTTTTGTACCCAAGTTTTTATTAGTGTTGATTAAAAAACCCCAACAGTTTAAAGTTAGGGTACGTATGTGAATACAGCCGTTGTTATGAAGTAATCTGACATCGTGATTATAATTAATATCCCCATTGCATGTCCTCATGCCAAAAGCTCCGCGCTTGTTAAGAACTGTTTTGAAATCCTTTCCTAGATGCCCCTAATGTTGCCAAACCTGTTTTTCATAAAGATGGGAAGGAGGCTGGGCTGATGGAAAGATCGGCATTGTACCTGGAGACCTCAAAGCGCTTGGCTAGGCCCCTTCCATCCTGGGGGCCGGTGGTGCCCTGAGCCCCAGGCCCCCTCTGCCCAGGGGAGCACCCACTGCCTGGCGCATCCTGGGCTCCCCACAGCCCCTGGGCTCATGGGCATCTGACCGGGCTCGTGGGCATCGTGACTGCAGCGGTCAGGCCTCCCTCGGCACCCGGGCTCGTGGGCATCTGACTGCGGGGGTCGGGCCTCCCTTGGCCCAGGGCTGGTGGGCATCTGACTGCGGGGGTCGGGCCTCCCTCGGCCCCGGGCTCGTGGGCATCGTGACTGCAGCGGTCAGGCCTCCCTCGGCACCCGGGCTCGTGGGCATCTGACTGCGGGGGTCGGGCCTCCCTTGGCCCAGGGCTCCTGGGCATCTGACTGCGGGGGTCAGCCTCCCTCTCCCCCGTGAGAGTGGGGCGAGCCCGCGGCCTCCCCGACGCCGGTGCGGGCCTTGCGCTGTGGACGCCCGAGCAGGCGATTCCCCATCTTACTTTCTCATGCTTTCTGACCCATTTTCAACTTGAAACATCTTGTTCGCACGTGCAGCATTTTAAACACCTCGCCACCCCCTTCAGACAGGCCGGCGGCAGGGCCCAGTGTCTGCACCGTCCGCTCCGCGAGGCCGGGCGGGGCTGACCGGCGGAGCGCACTTGGCCCTGGGCGCCACCTGGGCACCGAGGCTCCAGCCCCGCCCAGAAAGCGGGGACAACAGCGGGGAGCCAC